AACAAACAAACAAACAAACAAACAAACAAACAAACAAACAAACAAACAAACAAACAAACAAACAAACAAATAAATAAATAAACAGAGAAGAAGCGACGAACAAATAAATAATAAGAAAGACAGAGACAAACAAATTAATAAAACAAATAAAAAACATAGATGAAGATAAAAAATAAATAATAAAAGACAGAAGGAGACAGACAAAGAGACAGCAGAAGGCTGTGAACAAAATTAAAATAAAAACATAAATAAAAACAAATTAACAAACGAAGAAGGTGCTGAATAAATAAATAAATAAATAAATAAATAAATAAATAAATAAATAAATAAATAAATAAAGAGACAGACAAACAAATAAAAAATAAAATAAACAGACAAAATGCACAGAAGACAAAAGAAATAAATATCTGTCTCCTTTTCTTTTTGTATTTGTTTGTAGCAGCAGTCTGTTCATTTTTTATTGTTATTTATTTATATATTTATTTATTTATATATTTATTTATATATTTATATATTTATTTATTTATATTTCTTTTGTTTTTATTTGTCTGCGTAAGATTTGGTTGTCTCTGTATTTCCTAGGTGTCTCTCTTTGCTTCTGTTTGTTTTATTTATATATTTTATATATCTTTTTTAATTGTTTTGCTGCTGTTGTTTCTGCTGCTCGCTGCTGCTGCAGCCTCCAGAACAAGCACTAAGAACAGCTGTTCTGCTGCAGCAGCTGCAGCAGCAGCAGCAGCAACCGTAGCTGCAGCAGCAGCAACCGCAATAGTAGTCTAAGAACCTCACGGCTTGAGACAGTCTCTCTTGTTACTGCTGCTGCTGCTACTACTACTACTACTACTTTTGTTACGATTGCTGCAGCAGCAGAAGACCCAAAGGTTGCGTGTTCGTCTCAGTGTAGCAGCAGCAACTGCAGCAACAGGTGCTGCTGGTGCAGCAGGTACTGCTGCTGCTGTTGGTGCTGCTGCTGCTGCTGGAGCAGCAATAGAACAACAAACTAAGCAGCTTGCTGCTTTGCTTCTGCAGCACATGCACGGAGAGCGTCTATAGCCTGGGAGCAGGCGAGGAGGGGCCCGTCTTCCTGCTGCTGCTGCTGCTGCTGCTGCTGCTGCTGGAGACACTGCAACACCTGATGCTGCTGCTGCTTACAAGGCAAAGGCGGCAGCGGTGCTGCACCTGCTGCAGCAAAAGCACCTATTGAATTAGAGACAACTGAAAGCAGCTGCTTCACGTGCTGCTGCTGCTCGTGCTGCTGCTCCTCCAGCTGCTGCTGCACCCGCCGCACCTGCTGCTGCAGTTGCTGCTGCTGCTGCTGCTGCTGCTGAGGCTGCTCGTACAGACGCTGCTGCTGCTGCTGTTGCTGCTGCTTCTGTTGCTGCTGCTGCTGCTCCCAATCCAACCCCAGGACTCCGAAGGGGGGAAAACCTGCACAAGACACCACAAACCCTAAACCCTAAACCCTAAACCCTAAACCCTCACCCAAATACCCCATGCCCTAAACCCCAAACCCTAAACCCTAAACCCTAGTTCATCCTACCGAGGGGGCTTGCTGGAGGCAGATCTAAATAGCTGCTGTCGTCTTCTTCACCAGTAGAGCTGTGCTGCTGTCTCTGTTGCTGCTGCCTGTGCTGTTGCTGTCTCTGATGTTGCTGCTGCTGCTGCTGCTGCCGGTGCTGCTGCTGCTGCTGCCTGTGCGGCTGCTGCTGCTGCTGCTGCTGCTGCTGCTTCCAGGTGGGGGGGCAGCTGTAGGCCTGCAGGAAATCATCTCCAAGTATGATGGCGCTCGTTGCGCTGCTGCTGCTTGGGAGGGGAGCAGCAGCAAACCCATCTGCTGCTGCTGCTGCTGCTGCTGCTGTTCCTGCTGCACCTGCTGCTCCTGCGGCTCCTGCTTCTGCTGCTGCTGCTGCTCCGTCTGGAGGCGCAGCAGCAGATGAAGCAGCAGCCCCCATGTGCGAGGCAGAATGAAGAAGGCTGCAGCTGCTGCTGTGCTGCACGAGAAGGTGCACAGACAACAGGCCGAGGGTTTAGGGTTTAGGGTTTAGGGTTTGGGAGCATACAGACCAGGTAAAATGCAATAAATCAAGCAGAAGCTGCGCTGCTAAGAAAGAGGTAAAGGCGAAGGGTTTGGGTTCCGGACCTACTTCAGGGTTTAGGGTTTGGGGTTTAGGATTTAGGGTTTAGGGTTTAGGGTTTAGGGTTTAGGGTTTAGGGTTTATAAGGGTAGAAAGCAGAGCTATTGAATGCCTGAGAGTATTTAAAATACCATTTAAATATCACATTAAAATAAATTTGCTGAGTACACTAAACCCTAAACCCTAAACCCTCGGAAGAGTTGTCCAGCACTCTAACAGCCGCCGACAGGGGCCCCCCGGGCCCTAAACCCTAAACCCTAAACCCTGAACCCTAAACCATCAAGCCTCATCGCTAGACTCCATTTTTAAAACCCTAATCAGATAAATATCTCTTTATCTGTTTTTCTTCTTTGTATGAGGCAGCTGGGCTGTCGAATCTGAAAAACCCTAAACCCTAAACCCTAAACCCTAAACCCTTTCTGGCGGCAGCTAGGGTTTAGGGTATAGGAGAAAAGGGTTTAGGGTTTTGACTGTAGGGTTTATTAGGGTTTGTCTTTGGTGCTCAATAACTTTAAAAGACTTACTTCTCTGTACACATCCGAAAACAAACAAAGACAAGAAAAGAAGCAGCAGCAGCAAACCCTGCGAGACAAACACAACAACATAGCACCGCACGCCAAACCCTAAACCCTAAACCCTAAACCCTAAACCGTAAAACCCTAAACCCTAGGAAAACAACACAAAGAAAAAACCCTCAGCCTTAAACCCTGAACAATCCTTCATTTATAAAACCCTCGCTTAACAAACCCTCATTACACAAACCCTCATTCATTAAACCCTAATTAAATAAACCCTAATTAAACAAACCCTAAATAAACAAACCCTAATGAAGTAAACCCTCATCTGCTAAACCCTAATTAGACAAACCCTAATAAGACAAACTCTAATTAAACAAACCCTAATAAGACAAACCCTAATTAGACAAACCCTAAACCCTAATTAGACAAACCCTAAACCCTAATTAGACAAACCCTAAACCCTAATGGAGTCTTCTTTAGGAGTTGGTGCGGGCGGAAGTCCTTCTCAGACATTCACCTGTCGCTACAGTGAGAGCCCTCGTCTATTTTATTTATGTATTTATTTACTTTATTTATTTATTTATTTATTTATTTATTTATTTATTTATTTATTTGTTTGTTTGTTTGTTTTTGTCTCTCTTTGTCTGTTTGTTTTTTCGTCTTTTATTTTGCTGCTCTTTGGTGGTTTGTCTTATCATAATATTTATTTGTATTTGTCTCCTTGTCTGTCTCTTTATCTGTATCCTTATCTGTCTCTCTATCTTTATCTGTCTCTGTCTCTTTATCTGTCTCTTTATCTGTCTCTTTATCTGTCTCTTTATCTGTATCCTTATCTGTATCTTTATCTGTCTCTTTATCTGTCTCTTTATCTGTCTCTTTATCTGTCTCTTTATCTGTCTCTTTATCTTTATCTTTATCTGTCTCTGCCTCTTTATCTTTATCTTTATCTTTATCTGTCTCTTTATCTGTCTCTTTATCTTATTTTATCTGTCTCTTTATCTGTTTATCTCTGTCCCTTTCGTTTCGCCTTCTTCATCACAGCCTTGAGGGTTTAGGGTTTAGGGTTTAGGGTTTGTGTGTTGCAGAGCTAGCTTTGCCTGGGGGTTGTTTGTGCGGTGTCTCCTTTGAAGGAGACACATCGCTGTCTCCTTCTGCTTTGTCTCTTCATTATTTCTTTGCTTTTACTGCAAATCCATTAGGGGCTAATGAGGTTTGTTTGTTTTAATTAATATATTTATTTGTTTTATTTACTTTGTCTTCTGTCGTTTGACTGTTTGTTTTATTTTATTTGCAGCTGTCTTGCTATTTGTTTGTCTCTGTCTTTATCTTCTTTATCTCTTCGTTTTTGTCTATTTGTTTCTCTCTCTTTATTATTATTATTACTATTATTATTATCATCATTATATTATTATTATTATTATTATTATTATTATTATTATTATTATTATATTTTTGTGTTTGTTTTTCTTTTGGCTGTCTTTGTTTGCCCCTCGTCTCTCTTTTTGTTTGTTTATTTGTTTGTCTTCTCTTTTGTCTGTCTCTTTCTTTGTTTCTATCTCTTTATTTTTATTGCATTGCTTTCTGTCTCTTTGTTTATATTATATTTGTCTCTGTCTCTTTATTCTTCGTCAGTCTCTATCTCGTTCTGTCTCCTCAAACCCTAAACCCTAAACCCTAAACCCTAACTGGTTGCGGTGTGCGTATGTTAGGGACATCTTCTTTGCTATGAGGAGGAGACACAGGAGACAACAGCTCTTCTGTGTCTTGCTGCTCCTGCTGCAGCAGCAGCAACAGCTGCTGTCTCCCTTCATACTACAGCCGAGCGTCTCGCTGCTGTCTCTCTCCTTGTAGCCTCCAACACACCATGTACGCCCTTGAGGGTTTAGGGTTTAGGGTTTAGGGTTTAGGGTTTACCAGATGAGGCCAAACTTTTTACATTTCTTCTCCTCTACTTTTTTCTGTCCTGTTTGTCTCCTTTTGTTTATTTTATTTGTCTCCTTTTATTCATTTTGTTTGTATTATCTTTATTTCTTTGTCTTTATTTATTTTATTTTATTTTATTTTATTTTGTTGTCTTAACTTTGCAGCGCCTTCTCTCGCTCTGTGGAAGGCCGAAGCCCCCCTGAAGGAGACAGACGAACCCGAAGCCCTCAGCAGCAGCAGCAGCAGCAGCAGCAGCAGCAGCAGCAACGGCAGCAGCAGCAGCAGCAGCAAC